GTGCTTTCCTAAGTACTTTACATGTTTACCTTCACAACACGTGGATGAGATAGTTGTTATTAGGATCCCTATTTCCACATGGAGAAAGTGGAGGTGAAGTTAGACTAAGAACTTGACTCACGTCACAGAGCTGGTAAAGGGTAGAGGAAGAGGCAAAGGTGGAGCCTCTGGTCCCGGAGCCCCACTCAGCTCCTCACATGGGGTCCATTTGGAAAGTTTCATCAGGGTTTACGACCTAAGTCATAACAAGATCTGTAGAGTCTTAGAGAATGTGACTTTATTGGGTTTTCTCCCGTGTAGTTAAGTAGGCTTTTCAACTTACCTGTTATTTTACTTTATTTTTTTGGCTGCACAGCTTGGGGGATCTTAGTTGCCCAACCAGGGATTGAACCTGGGCCCTGGGCAGTAAAAGTGCCAAGTTCTACCCACTGGACCACAAGGGAATTCCCGCCTTACTTGTAAATTTAAATCAAACATTGCTGAGAGGGGCTTCCCTGGTGGCGCAGTGGTTGAGAGTCCGCCTGCCGATGCCGGGGACACGGCTTCGTGCCCCGGTCCGGGAAGATCCCACATGCTGCGAAGTGGCTGGGCCCGTGAGCCATGGCCGCTGAGCCTGCGCGTCCAGAGCCTGTGCTCCGCAACGGGAGAGGCCACAGCAGTGAGAGGCCCGTGTACCACAAACAAACAAACAAACAAACAAACAACATTGCTGAGAATATAGGCACTTCTTATACAACATAACTTCCTAAAAAGCTGTATGTTGCAAAACTACACACTAAAAATGAAAGGATTTATGGGAAGAAAATATGTTGGGGTGAAACCAGTCAGCACTTATGGACTCTAACAAAAGCTATAACAGTCCTAACAAATATACAAGATTAGTTTAAAAGACAAGCCGAATTCTGACGAATACCGCGCTACAGTAATTATAGGACTGATCTAAGGGGAAAAAGGTAGCTTGATTGGAAGGGACTATATTATAGGAAAGCACAGAGCCTGCTGAGACAAGGAACCAATAAAGGAAACTCTGTGACAGGTTTTTCCAAGACAGGGTGTGTGTTCAGACTGAGATGAGGGTACCTGCAGGGGTGGGTGGGCGTCTTCAAATGTGACCGCTACTTTACACTGACATTATTCCCCTATTTATTAGTGTGAGCCAAACCACAATACAGAAATACACAGTGTTTATCTGCAAATAGATGAAAACAAGATGGCTTTTCATAGAATAAAAAGGCCTTACTCGTCTCCCTTAACCCTTCTCATAAGAATCACTATACTTTCTGTAAATGTTTTTTTTTTTTTTAATTTTATTTTATTTATTTATTTATTTTTGACTGCATTGGGTCTTAGTTGCTGTGCACGGGCTTTCTCTAGTTGCGGAGAGAGGGGACTACTCTTCGTTGCCGTGTGTGGGCTTCTCATTGCGGTGGCTTCTCTTGTTGCTCTAGAGCGCAGGCTCAGTAGTTGTGGCGCATGGGCTGAGTTGTTCCGCGGCATGTGGGATCTTCCCGGACCAGGGCTTGAACCCGTGTACCCTGCGTTGGCAGGCGGATTCTTAACCACTGCGCCACCAGGGAAGCCCCTGTAAATGTATTTTAAATGACTATGTCTTTGTAAGGAGCTGTTTGAGCAGTATAACTGTGATAGGGATTAGAGGAATAGCTGGAGATTATTTCATGTGTTAGAGGAACAAAATATCGAAATGTTTATCTGATTTCCTCGTGACCTGCCATAAGTGGGAATGATATTTAATTTGAAGAGATAGTAACTGTACGCATTCAGATTTCAGTGGTGATCGTTAAAAGCACAGATATTCAGGATTTATAGTCCCAAAGGTTTTACTCTTTAATTAGTTATAAAGCATCCTGTAGACATTTTGCTGTAACAATTGAGAATCAAAAAATGATCATTCTTAGAGTTAGAAACCTCCCTACTCTAGAGTGCACTAAACTTCGCTCTTACTTCAAACTTGTCACTGAATTGCCTGCTGAATGCAATAAGAAAGGTATGGATCACAGCCACCTTTTTTCAAGAAAGGATTAATGTAGTGTGTTAAACCTAAGTTATGTCCCGTAGTGTAGCTTTAGTGAGGCAGTTGTTTCCAGTGGGGGATGCTGGAATTTTGGGTCCCCAGAGCTGAGGTCGCCGTGGACTTCAGAGTTGACCTCTTAGTTTGGGGGAGGGTGACCAGTACTGGCTCTTAGGAACAAAAATATTTAAGAAAAGCAACCTCTACTCTTGCAGAGAGCTAGAGACGCCTTGCCCCGGGAGGGTGAGTCCCTGGCCTGGAATCTGAACGGCAGTCAGCTTGCCCACGTCTGGGCTTTTGAAGAAGGAAGAATTGCTTCCCTAAAGGGGGTTTCAGTAGGAGAGTTGAAGCATCCAGCCCCCACGAGGGGTTACGCAATATTGAAAACTGCACATCTGGGCTTAGTGATGGCCTGATGACCAAATCCTGCGAAGTGAACTGCAGACCGTTTTGGCGGCCGTCCCTGGACCCTGGTCTCCCCTCCGCGGGGCTGGGGTATTGAGAAGGTGAGTCCGGGGACTCTGGGCTCCCTTCCCTTCATTACCACGTCCCCGCGGGAGACACAGCCTGTGGGTTCTGTCTCTGAAACACTGCAGGGGTTGATCCACTTTTTATCCTCAGGGTGTCTCCGTAATCCCACCCAACTCTGATGCAGCCCTCATCCTGCATTTCAGATAATCTTTTAAAAATACGATCCCGATCTCACCTCCTAGTCACTCGGCTGATTGCCCTCAGAAGAGAGCGGTGGCTTACGCAGCGTGGATTACACGCTCGCATCTGGACCGTCCTGGCCTCCCCGGGAGCTCCCCGACCGCTTGCTCCAGCCGGGCCGGGATTGGTTCAGTTCCTGGTACGTGTCTGGGTCCGTCCTGGCCTCCAAGCGCACTGTTCTCTCTGGGGCTCTCTTCACCTGGCTCGTGGCCCCCGTTCAGCTCGCGGTCTCTTCCTGCTGGGACTGCGTTTGGATCCCTCGTGTCCCTCCTAGATCGCAGTGTGCCTGTCCTTTAATAGCACACATCACACTGGGAACTGTCGTGTCAGGAGGAGTTTCCCTAAAGGAAGCCCTCCTACATTGCTGGTGGGAGTGTAAATCGTTGCAGCTACTGTGGAGAACGGTATGGAGGTGCCTTTAAAACTAAAAATAGAGTTGCTGTTATGACCCAGCAATCCCACTGCTGGGCATCTATCCGGAGAAAACCATAAATCAAAAAGACACACGCACCCCAGTGTTTGCAGCAGCACTATTTACGGTAACCGGGTCATGGAAGCAACCTAATTATCCATCGACAGAGGAATGGATAAAGAAGATGTGGTACGAATATGTGATGGGATATCACTCAGCCATAAAAAAGAACGGAATGATGCCATTTGCAGCAACATGGATGGACCTAGAGATTATCATACTGAGTGAAGTAAGTCAGACAGACAAAGACAAATGCCACGTGATATTGCTAATATGTGGAATCGAAAATACGGTACAAATGAACTTATTTACAAAGCAGATACAGACTCACAGACATAGAGAACAGACTTGGGTTACCAAAGGAGAAAAGGGGTGGGGGAGGGATAAATTAGGAGTTACAAAAAAAAAAAGAAATAGTTTTTCTACTGGATTGTAAGCTCCATGTGGCTGTGATGTCCTTTGTGTGTGGCTCTGCCCTTGCGTCTGGAAGAAGGTCCCACACAGTTAGGCCATCCATAAACGCTTGTTGAACAGAATGAAAGTGAACAAGTGGAGGAATGACGTAATGAAGCAGGAAGCAATCCAGAGCATCAGAGAATCCGTGGGAGCGGAGGTTATGAAAAGCAAAATGCCAGCAGCACGGGGAGTCAGGTGTGTGCAGAGCTTTAAGTTTCAGGAGCGCACGGTTGAATTTAGCCAACGGAGGTTTGAGTGACACGGTAGAAGCAAAGCCAGGGCCTCGTAGGCACAGGAATAAATCTCATCTGAGGGGGTGAGCGCAGCCCAGGGGCCGTGACCAGAAGGGGAAGCAGAGGGGACTGGGGAGCTGGGAGTGGGGCCTTCGCTGGCCCTCCCTCTGCCCAGCACTGCCCAGACTTGGAAGTTCTCACCAGCTTTTCTACTACTTTGTCCTGCTGTCCTGATCTATCGCAGGGGAAAGTTCTATACACATTGCTTACTGCCAGGTGAAAAGAAACATATTTTAAAGGCCTGATTTTTGGATTTTTATTTAATAATTTTTCAGCTTTTAAGGAATGAAAACGTTCGATTTTCTGAACATGAAGCTGTCTTCTTGACGTTTGTTTATGAAAATGGTTGCTACAGCTTGGGCTGGGGTTGGTACACTTTATCCTTCCCGAGGCAGTTTGTTTTGAAGTTCTCTCTTCTTTCAGCTACTCTTCAAAAGCTGGACTTTGGAATTTAATCTTAAAACACTTTCATTTCTTGAATCACAGGTTTCGGCATGGCTGGGCGCTAAGTCTGGCATATGACCTGCTGTTGGAAAACAGGCTTTCTGTGTGATGGAGTATGCATAGGGTGCTTTCTTCAGGTTTTCTTTTTACATGTGGAAACAAGGGTTTGGGGCTTCATTCTCTGCTAGAGGTTCATGATGGAGAATCCCGTTACCTGCACAGCAAGGCATCCTCATCACTTTTCTAAATTGTTATTGGAGTCTAGTTGCTTTACCATGCTGTGTTAGTTTTAGGTGCACAGCACAGTGGATCAGTTATACACACACATAGATCCACTTTCTGCCTCCCGGTTATTAATTTGAGGCCAGTACTTGGGTCTTTATTCTCACCCTAGTGGAGTTAATCACTTACCAGTAAAGGGAGAGAGCAGTCAATGGACTTGGAGGCCGTTTAATCATCAACCCTGGGGATGGCAAATACCCCTCCGAGTTTCTGAGAATCTCTCTCCCACTGCTTGCCAAGGCCTTGTCACCAAATTTATCACTTTGATTCACTTGTTTTTTCCTTCCCCTGTCACTACCATCTCTACACCCAGCTCTGTACTGGATTCAGGAACTGACCCAACCGTTTCTGAAGTTGCTGCTAATGTTACACGTAAAAATCATCGTTCGTTCTGTTGAAGAACATAGTCTGTCTTCCCGGCAAACCCAAGACAAACACGGGTTTCCAAGGTATCAGCACTGGGTGCATCTGTTCATAGTGTAATCTCATCAGCTGAGCAGAGAAGGATGCTAATTAGTTTGTTGATACATATGTGATTTAATGAGACTAAACACTTAAGTGATCTTGCAGTATGCACAACTTGTTTCCTGTCGCTGTTTTTAGTTTAATAAAAAAAAAAACCACGTTAGGCACATTGGCTGGAAATTAGAGCATTGCGCCATCTCGGAGAAGAAAGAATTTCCAGGAACGTTGACTGGTCAGTTGTATCCTGCTCTAGTGAGATTGAAGAGAAGATGAGGGTAAAATATTGGGTTTGGGGACAGGGGTTGAAATCCAATTTAAATGAGAAGATTAAGCATAATGGAAGAATTTTCATAAACTACATTATGTCAAACTCCTAGGTCCAATACTAAAATTCTAATAGGTACCAGGATAACTTGTTTGAGGAAGAAATTCCAGACCTGCATCGGCTCCAACATATAATCTTGTGTTTTTTGTGGCCTTCTTTTTTTTTTGAGTGCCCTCTTTTCTAGTTATCGTATTATATGTTTACATAACTGAAACCATGGCATTCAATTAATACGGTCCTTCTTCCTAAAAATTCATATGAAATAATGGTATTATAAATTTTATGAATGAATATTTACTTAATATTATCTACTATACTCTCCTTTATTATCTCCAAGTTGTACAGAACTGGCTCCATAGAGGTTCTCTATTTTAGGAGTGGGATGGGGAGAAGAGGTGAGGAAGTAACTCTGACCCTATAGTCAAAATTATATTTGGATTTAAATGCTTCAGTTAATTTGCTCAGCTTTTTGCAAACAGCAGTCAGCACACTGTGGCCTGTGGGCCCAGTGCAGCCTGTTTTTATGGGAACACGTCCATGCCCGGCCCTCTGTGTATCTGCTGTGGCCGCTTTCCTGCCAGCAATGGGGAGTGGAGCCACTGACTGCAAAGCTGAAGTGACCTGTGGCCCTTTACGGGAAGGTTTGACCCTGATCTACGGTGTGTGTGAGGACAGGAATTAGTAAACAGTAACAGTTATGTTGAGATACATTAAAGACTGAGAAGCAGACACTTGTAGAATTGAATCTTAAACGAAGCCTGGTTGAGAGCCCTAGATCTGTAGGTTTTTCAGAATCCAAGTAGCCGTTCCTGCATCACCAGATTCCTTTGGGCCACTCAGCAGCCCACTGACGGAGACAGTGCCCTCTTCTCTGCCCGCAGAATAAGAATGACGTGTGATCGGGCTTCCCTGGTGGCGCAGTGGTTGAGAGTCCGCCTGCCGATGCAGGGGACGCGGGTTCGTGCCCCGGTCCGGGAAGATCCCACATGCCGCGGAGCGGCTGGGCCCATGAGCCATGGCCGCTGAGCCTGCGTGTCCGGAGCCTGTGCTGCACAACGGGAGAGGCCGCAACAGTGAGAGGCCCGCGTACTGCAAAAAAAAAAACACAAAAAAAGAATGACGTGTGATCACAGATTTGGGGTTTGACTTTAAGAAACAGAGAGTCACTTATATGTGGAATCTTAAAAAATGATACAAATGAACTTATTTACAAAACAGAAACAGACTCACAGACATAGAAAACAAACTTATGGTTACCAAAGGGGAAAGGCGGGGGACAGGGATAAGTTAGGAGTTTGGGATTAACATACACACACTACTATATAGATGACCAACAAGGATCCACTGTAGAGCACAGAGAACTCTACTCAATATTTTGTGACAACCTATAAGGGGAAATAATCTGAAAAAATAGGTATATATGTGTATAACTGAGTCACTTTGCTGAAACTAACACAACATTGTAAATCAACTGTAGTCCAATGTAACATAAAAATTTTAAAAAAGAAAAAGAAACAGAGAGTCCTGGCAGCTTCTTCTGGCCAGTCAGCATCCATCATCCTCCTCAAACCCGATAACCCAGCAACACCCCAGGGGCTGTCGGATGTGAATTTAGCTTCCTTATTTGTCCCAGTTTAGGAAGTGAATTGTCCATTGTTATAAGCTTGTTAGTAACTTATCTGTGACAAGTTACAAGCTGATGCTTATACATATTAGGAACATACTGAGAGCACGGAGGGGCATAGAAAAGACAAGAAAATAATCGAACTCCAGTTCCAAAGATGGAAACATAAGATTTTTTTTTTAACATCTTTATTGGCGTATGATCGCTTCACAATGGTGTGCTAGTTTCTGCTCTACACAAAGTGAAGCAGCTATACATACCCATGACGTAAGATTTTATCCCGGATGATTCAAGTACCACGAGCCAGTGAGCAGGAGAATTATGCTCTTGTTTGCTTTCTAATGTAAACAAAACCCGTATCTTTAAGATAAACTAATCCTACTGTATAAACTAAGCCTGATTACTTAGAAGCCAGTCTCACTTGGTAAAGTGAGTTTGGGTTCATCGAAAGGCAGTGGCCGTGGAGGCAGATGGACGCACATTTGAACCCTAGTTCTGGCACTTCCTAGCATCTCAAATGGAATGACCTAAACTTTGAGCCTCTGGCCCATTGGAGATAATAGTACCTATTCCCAATGGTTGCTGTGCGGCTTAAATGTAACTGTAACCAGGCACTTAGTGGGGTTAAGTAACCATGGGTTCTTTTTCACTTTTTTTGTGCTTTTTGATTTTCCAAGTATGGAAATAGTTGGTGGACCCAAGCTAATCAAGATCATTGTATTGTTTTGTTTTCTTTTGTTTTGTTTTTGCGGTACGCAGGCCTCTCACTGCTGTGGCCTCTCCCGTTGCGGAGCACAGGCTCCGGACGCGCAGGCTCAGCGGCCATGGCTCACGGGCCCAGCCGCTCCGCGGCATGTGGGATCTTCCCGGACCGGGGCACGAACCCGTGTCCCCTGCATCGGCAGGCGGACTCTCAACCACTGCGCCACCAGGGAAGCCCTGTTTTTGTTTTTAATAAATTTATTTTCTTTATTTTTATTTTTGGCTGCATTGGGTCTTCGTTGCTGCTCACGGGCTTTCTCTAGTTGCGGCGAGTGGGGGCTGCTCTTCGTTGCGGTGCATGGGCTTCTCATTGCGGTGGCTTCTCTTGTTGCAGAGCATGGGCTCTAGGCGTGCGGGCTCAGTAGTTGTGGCACGCGAGCTCCTTAGTTGAGGCTCGCGGGCTCAGTAGCTGTGGCTTGCGGGCTGTAGAGTGCAGGCTCAGTAGTTGTGGCGCACGGGCTTAGTGGCTCCACGGCTTGTGGGATCTTCCTGGACCAGGGCTTGGACCCGTGTCCCCTGCATCGGCAGGCAGATTCTTAACCACTGTGCCACCAGGGAAGCCCAAGATCATTGTACTGTTTATAAGCTGAATTTACAACCACACGGTTCCACTGAAAAGTAACTAACGAGACGTGGGTTGCGAATTGTGTGGAGACTCAGTCAGAACATCAACAAAAACAAAAGTAAGAGGGAAAGTCGGCCAGAAGGGCCGTGCGGGTGACCTCAGGGACCCCTAGGAAGAGAGGCTTTCTTGGTTTACCCCGGTGTTGTCTGGATTCGGATCCAGAGACCCTGGCAAATCCAATGGCATGGTCTTAGGAATCAGGAGTTCTTTGAAAAACTATTACGTGTTTTTCATTTTGGTGATATTTTTAAGTTATTTTACTATTTATAGAGACAAGTATCTTCTTTGCCAGCAATCATTTCAATTAATTTTTTTCATGTAATTCTTTTCATGTAAAAGTCAGTGTTTCAGATCTAATCACATATACTTGGGCCTCATTATATATATTTTTTTCTTTAGGTATGTTTAGGAGACATTAGACATGCGATTCTGATTTTTCAGAAGAGACAGCACAATGAGAACGTAGCAGTACCGGCAGTGACATGACATAGATGGAGGCTCAGCGTCTGCCATAAAACCCTAGTGTTTCACTCTTGTGGAATCACACAGGACCAAATGGGCTATAAAAATGAGAATCAGTAGTTTGTGCTAAAGACATTTTGGAGAAAATTGCGTTCCGTTTGAACAATATTAAAATACTAAAAGGAAGTACTAGTATACTAGGATGCATCCGTATTAAATCAAGAACTTTACCAGATGTTCCGTCCATTCATTGACATTTGCACCAGAATTTTTCTTACTTGAAAGTGACATAGCACTGGATGGTCTTTGCTTTCTCACACCTGCCTTTCTCTGTTTCCGTAGGAATCCAGAGTCGCCCCTCTTTCTGTTCTGACCTTCTGCTGCCCCTGGACGCTCCCGTCACCAGTGTCCCTGGTCCCGTAGTGGCTTCTGTGGGTCGGTCCCCGTAAGAACAGCCGCCAGGAGGTGATCACCATGTTTTGCGCGAAGCTGAAAGACCTGCAGATCACGGGGGACTGCCCCTTCTCGCTGCTGGCCCCGGGCCCTGTCCCCAAAGAGCCCGCGGGCGAGGCGGCAGGGGGCGGGCCCGCAGCTCCGGCCGGAGGGCAGGGCCTCTGTCCGGGCGACCCCGCGAAGAAGCCGCCCGGAGGGCTTCCTCAGAGGAAGAGTAGCCGCAGCCGCGTCTACCTGCACACGCTGGCCGAGAGTATCTGCAAACTGATTTTCCCGGAGGTGAGTCCCTGGCCTTTCGAGATTTTACTGATATTTTGAAAATGGCAAAAGGATGTTTTCCTAAGGAAAATGTGAACGCTTGCTCTGTCACTTTCAAGGCTACAGTCGATGTAGACTGTTTTCTGGAAACATTTAAAAACATTTTTTTAAAGCAGTCATTTTCTTAAATTGTGTTTAATCTGAAAATGTTTAAAATCTTGCATGCTTTTCCAAAGCATCCTGCACTCTGACAGGCTTTATGGCTTCGAGCCGCTGCTTCACCCTCTGGCCTCAGCATCCGTACCTGAAAATGGAAATGCTCACACCTAGAGTCTGCACGGGCATTCGGTGAAACGATCCACAGCTCTCACCACCCACAAGGACCCGTTTTCTACTCATGGATGCCAAGCTAGTTTTTATGGATCCGTTAGCTGTATTTTTAGAACCGAATTCCTTGAAGAATAACTTATTCCCTGCTGGGTTTTCCTAAGAGCATCATCTGTTCCCTGGCAACTTGCTGAGCTGGGAAGACCGCCACATCCTGCTGGTTCAGAGTCTGAAGTCTCCACTCACGCCAGGCCTGGCCTGCTTCCTTGAGTCAGGGTCACGGGCCTGCCCGTGACACCCACCTGCCCTCAGCTCAGACACATCTTTTTTTTTTTATGGTACGCAGGCCTCTCACTGTTGTGGCCTCTCCCGTTGTGGAGCACAGGCTCCGGACGCGCAGGCTCAGCGGGCATGGCTCACGGGCCCAGCCGCTCCGCGGCATGTGGGATCTTCCCGGACCGGGGCACGAACCCGTGTCCCCTGCATCGGCAGGCGGACTCTCAACCACTGCACCACCAGGGAAGCCCCCAGACACATCTTGATGTAGCTCTGTGGGCTGGGCTGCACAGCCTGATGCCGTTTTGAGATGTGGAGCACAGCCCTTAAGGGAATTCTGGAAAGACCGATGCTGTAAGGTCTCACTTATATGTGGAATCTTAAGAACAACAACAACTCATAGAAAGTACAGACTGGCAGTTATAAGATAAATGACTACCTGACCCTGCTGTGTGATGTGTAGGAAAGTCATTAGGCAAATCCTGTGAGTTCTCATCACAAGGAGACTTTGTTTTTCTTTCTGTTCTTTTTACTGTATCTATAGGAGAAGGTGGATGTTAGCTGAACCTATCGTGGTAATTATTCACACTCTATGTAAATCAAGCCGTCGTGCTGTGCCCTGTAAGCTTAGACAGTGATGTATGTCAGTTAGTTCCCAATGAAGCGGGGGGAAAAAGAACCTGGGGACAGAGCATAGACCAGGTAAAATATCTTTGCAATGGATGGGGCATGTGGAGGGTCAAAGAGAAGAGCTACTGAAAGGCTTCGTGGTGCGTCTTCCTCCCTCTGTCAGTGTTCACGGTTTTATATAAATTCGCATCAACTGGGAGGCTGGGGATTGATGTGATCAGGCTGCAGCTCTCATCGTCCACGGATGAGTTTCAGTTGACTCCACACCACCCCTGTGCCTGTGTGGAGCACTGAAGAACCACAGACCGGTGACTTTTAGGAGTGGAAGGGACGTCAGAGAGAAACTTGTTTCACTCCCAAGAAGGACTAGAGAGGCTAAGTGACTTGACCAAAGTCACACAGCTTTGGAAGGATAGAGCCATTACTGCTGTCAACAATATGGACTCGAGTGACAAAGAAGAGACTTGAATGGAAGCTTGAAGGATGGATAAATTAGAGTTAGCAGGACGTTGAGGGAACTTATGTCAAATATAAAAAAACACAGTAGTACTTTGGTTCGTGGCCTTTGAGATGGAAATATTTAATTATTCTCTCTCTGCTCCAGTCACTAGCCAGCCAGCGTTGGCTGGGGTGAGGGATGTAGCCCTTCTCAGGCAGGTGGCTGGCATCACAGTCTGGGAAGCGGTTGGTACTCTCATTTCCAAGGACAGAGCGTGATGCACAGGGATGAACAGATGGTGAGGATGGACGGCTGGAGACCTTCCATGCTTTCCCTGGGTCTTGTCATTACCATGTTGGCGTCATTATTCTGTTTGATAAGTTTTGAGTTCCTACAATAGAAGTCATACACATGTTGGAACCTCTTTTCAAAACATTCTGAACACCAAACATATATGTTCCTGTTTTCCTTTTCTTTACTTAGAAGGATCTGTGTTGTTTGTTCGTGAGCTCACAGGAATAATCATCAAGGTTTGACTGCGCTGTCACGTAGGAGGGAAGGCGAGGACGTAGGCCTTCCAAGAGGCAGGAGGTGACCCTTGGCATCAAGGACCAGGACTCTTTTCCCACAACTGAGGCCATTTTCATTAAAACAGGGAACGTCCCAGGGCCATGTAGATTACTTCATCCCCTGTCCGAACATCTACGTGTTTTTGATTAAGTAGGACTTTTTTTTTAAGCCGATTCTTTTCAAGGGGACAGATTTAATGCTTAACCTACTGTTCAGTTTCAGTTCTATCAGTAACCCAAAGGAAGAGACTCCAAATAGTATTTGATGGTACCCTAGTTCTTGCTTTCGATAATCAGATTTAACTCCCCAATTATGTTTTATGGGGGGACAAGTATATCCTTAGCAGATTTAGGGTGGGAGATGGCTTTCCAGAGTTGTGGAATCGTAGGTTACAGAAGTCCTTTTGCTCATCTAATGCAAATTTTTCATTAGTTTGAAGAAATTGACATATAAAAGGCCACTTGCTTTAAGTAAAAGATAACTGAGGAGGAGACTGGAATGTTCTCTGCACCTCATTCGTAATCTGTTGCTCTTTCTGTTACATTGTTAGCTGATTTTTCTTGAATATTCTCCCCAGTAATCCTGTAAGCTCCTCAGGCAGAATGTCTTTAAAGAAATTATGATATGGTATTAGCCACAGTTGTAGCAAATCAGAACCCACTTCCTGAATTGAATCAATTGAGTCAGATATGCTTATATAAAGGATATCATCCCAAATCCAAGACCTTGTGAGACTAAGAGGGTCTGAGGGCACTCCTGAAGTCTCTAAATGTGCTGCAAAATATTGGGTTGCAAGAAGAAAAAAAGAGAAGCAGTTTTACAACATCCTTATGAGGGAAATATCCTTGGTCTAGAAAATCATTAAAAACTGTAGAAAACACCCCATCCCAGCTCCTGCCATACTTAAAACCTTTCAATGACTTTTCATTGCTCTAACATAAAAATAAACTTTCTTAATATAGCCTCCAGGCCAAAAAAAAAAAAAAAAAAACTGTAGAAAAGTTAAAAATCAACTGAAATAGCAACATATCCATAAACCAGACCGATGAAATTCCACTCAGAGTGTTCCCGACAATGTGTCATCAAACAGCAGTTGTACCTGAGGTATTAATACATGAGTATCCTCGGGGGCTGTGTTGCAGTGATTGATTCTGTGTCAGGAGGCCTGAGGTCTCAGGAACGTTGAGTCCTGTTCGTGGATTTCTTGTGAACTGCATCATCTCAGGGTCTAGGCTCAGGTTGTATTGTAGAAGCCCTCGCACCAAGGTAGGAAACTATGCACCAGCAGGCTTTACCAATGCGTGTTTTGTCTGCAAAACTTGTTGGTTTTGTTTTGTCTTGTTTTGAATTTATAACAGTTTTCCAGAGGTGCGGTGGTGGGTGATGGAAGTAGACAGGAAAGCCTGGTAAGCCACAGTATCAGCAGCTTATGCTACTGCAGCTTTGCTAGGACTTTGGGACTTTCTTCTTTAGAAAAGCAAATTCTTTTTTTTTTTTTAATTTTATTGGAGTAGAGTTGATTTACAGCGTTGTGTTAGTTTGAGGTGTACAGCATAGTGATTCAGTCACCCATATGCATAGATCCGTTCTTTTTCAGGTTCTTTTCCCGTATAGGTCATTACAGAGTATTGAGTAGAATTCCCTGTGCTGTACAGCAGGTCCTAAGTTCTGATTCAACATGGAAAGTCTGGAAGACACCTGTTCCACAAACCCCAGCAATGAGAGAGGGACCATTTCTCCTTGCTTACAATGGCAGCATATATGCTAGGAGGAAAGGACTAGAAAAAGAAGTTCCTGGTGGCAGTGGGAAGGAAATGATAGACCAGGAAGAATACAGACTGGCAAGGATAAAACCATGTACTTGGTGTTTTAACCGAAAGGTCAAGAGGAGGAGAGAGAAGGGTGGTGTCTCAACTAGCGCTCGGGGTGAGGAAGGAAAAAGTCTTTGGTGCCAGAATTGGATGGATTCTCTTTTCTCATTGCTCATGCGAAGTTCCTGGTCAGAGCAGCAATTCATATATAAACAAATGTAATCAAACTATTTTAAATTGGAAACAATCTAAATCCATTTTTGAACAAGCTGAAAGAGCAACACCTCTGTGCTGGCTTATATCTCCTCACTGATAGAAATGTTATAGACCAAGCCTTCAAGACTGAATAGCTGATGGGGGCACGGGGGTGATGGTCATTCATTCATTCATCCCATCACTGTAGTGAGCATCTCCCGTGGTCAGGTACTATCTAGGTGCTGGGCACGCAGTAGTGAGCAAAACAGGTATTCCCTGCCATTTTGGAGTCTCTATTCTAGTGGAGAAGACAGAAAATAAGAAACAAATGTCAGGCAGCAAATGCCTGAAAGACAGGCTCGTGCAGAGGCAGTGACCCTCATTACGCGGCTGACCCCTCTTCCCGTATGAATAGGTTTTACGGAAAGATGGATGGGGCGGAGCTAAACTGGCAGTCGCATATATAACTGATAAGAGTGCCAATTGCTACAAACTTCTATGAAATTAATTTGGAAAGAGCTACTGAAAATTAAAAATCCACAGACTTTAAGGGTTTCACTGAAAAAAATATAGCTTATGGACATAAAACGCAATATATGAGAGAAGAAAAAAGGCCCTCGAGAAACTGAAGATCCTTGAGCACCCCCGGCCGAGCTGCCTTGTTTACGGTCTCGGGTTTAATGTTCCCTTCCTCCTTCCCCGATTCAAGGGCTCTGAGGAACAGGCCCCCATTTCTCTTGCCAAAGCCGTTCCCCACCTGCCAGGCATCTGGCCCTTGGTCGGAATCTGCCCACTGTTCCAGCCCTTCTTTCCTCCTGAGGCAGATGTGTCCTCTCTCTCCTTACCGGAACCGTCAGATAAATGGTGTTCTACGTGGTAAATCTAAGTTCTCGTTTCTTTTCAGCCCTTGCATTTTCTTTCAAGAAATTTCACATTTCTTTTCTAAGCTCTATATGCTCTTTAAAAACCAAAAGCTTTGGGGCTTCCCTGGTTGCGCAGTGGTTAAGAATCCATCTGCTAATGCAGGGGACATGGGTTCGAGCCCTGGTCCGGGAAGATCCCACATGCCGCGGAGCAACTAAGCCCGTGCGCCACAACTACTGAGCCTGCGCTCTAGAGCCTGCAAGCCACAACTACTGAGCTCGCGTGTCACAACTACTGAGCCTGCGCGCCTAGAGCCTGTGCTCCGCAACAAGAGAAGCCACCGCAATGAGAAGCCCGCGCACCGCAACGAAGAGTAGACCCCGCTCGCCGCAACTAGAGAAAGCCCGCGCGCAGCAACGAAGACCCAACGCAGCCAAAAATAAATAAATAAATTTTTAAAAAACACCAAAATTTATTTTCATGACTCATTTTATTAAAACAGAAGCTTGGTCTATTTTGCTTAACTTTACTGTCTCACTTGACCAGTGGAAATTCCAAGAGAAATATAAATAGTTCTCAAGGAAAAAGGAATTTCACAACTTGGGATATAGCCAGAGAATTCGCCACTGTCCTCTGCGTAAACTACACAAAGCACTGGTGGCTATATACGCACATAGATACATATGATTTTTTACGGAATGCAAAGAAATTACCAGTCCTTTACTTCCCACTTATCAACAAGCTGTAAAGAGAGATTAATAGTATTGAAGCCACTGTTTAAAACTATGCAGGCTTATGTACAACTATTTTGCAATCTAGGAAGATTCATGAGATACTCAGAAATCAATAGAAGAGAAGAACACTGCAAGTATTTGGTGAAGATTATTCGTTCAAAGAAAGGAAATGAGTGCAAGTTCGGGGAAATCTGAGATTTGTTTCAATCAGTGATCAACCGACCTTGGTGACAGATTGGATTTAAGGGATAAAAGAAAGGGGAGAGACAAACTCGGGAGTTTTCTAGAGCAGGACTTGTAAACCGTACGTGAGACAGAAATGCGGGTTTGTGCGAAGGGTGGCGGTCACTGGGGTAGCTGGCGTGGGTCTGTGGAAGGAGTGTGAGTCTCTTGGCTTGAGCGCCCCTGAGACTGAAGTCCTGGCCACACACCCAAGGGGTTTCCGGCCCCCGAGGAAGGGGTGCCCGCGATTCCTCCACGAAGGCTTGACTTCGCCAAACCAGGTCTCCTGTTTGATTCCAGCTCTGTGGCTGTCAGTGAACGCCCACCGAGGGCAAAGCCCACATCCAGACTCAAGTGAGTCTGAGAGCTTTGCTTCTGCCCAAGTGTGAAAAGCCCATAGAAAATCTATCCCCTTTTCCACAGTGTCAGTTCACTGCACTTATTAAAGTAACTGCTTCTGCTTCTTCATAAGGAGCTTTCAGCACCAATTTTCTGTAAAGTATGTATCTTCAAGAATATGATTATTTAAGGGAATGTTTAAAACTTTTCCTTTCAATTTTCAGTTTGAGCGGCTGAACCTTGCCCTTCAGAGAACACTGGCAAAACACAAAATAAAGGAAAGCAGGTAAGTTGAATCACTTTCGTTGCATGAATCTCCAGTTGCAATCGCTGACACAGCTACTAATAACCACCACTGAGTGATGTATGCGTGTGTTTTGAATCATTTTGGTGTGCCGGGAACTGGGCTAACACTCATGTGAAAGCAAGTGTATTCATTTTTCACATTTTATATATCACTGAGCTCAGGTTCCTGTAAAATATCTGGGCTCGTAGAGCTGTTCAGGCAAAGGCAGAACTGAGTTTCAAGCCTGGGTTTTTCAGAGCCCATGATTTTAACCATGTTGCCCTGTGCTGTTGCTTTTAAAAAGCTCCCAGAAGGCCTGTTCTTTCCTAGCAAGGGATATTCTGAAATGTTACAAAGGTACGGCGTGGGTCAGAGCAGAGTCCTTGCTTGAAGGACACTACCGAGAGGCTGGGGCCTGCCTGTCCCTCCCCCGTAGCCTCGACCACAGGTTAAACTTTCAGCTCCTGCATCAGGAGGACGGGAAAGGATACAGGGGCAAGAGGAGGACCACTCAGGGGTTTGGGGCAGTACTCAGGGACGTGTTTCGGTATTTTCCTAACTGGTTCGGTTATACTGGTGTGCGAATACCAGTTCCGTTTGTATTTGTTCTTCTACTCTGTCTTTGAAATTTTCTTTAAGAAAGCTTTCTGTAGCCGGTTCATATATAAGGTAATTTTTTTTTAAAAAAACAACCTGACTTTTAGAGTTCATTTTAAAAATACATCTCGGCTCATTTCCTGCCGGTGGACAACTTGATTTGGCCTTGTTTTGGTTTTCCTGAAATCAAAGAATTATTTCATGTGCAAATAATACAATAAACACTTGAGTTCAAATTTTCAGAATCGAACTTGGAAGTTTTGCAAGCCAGTATCATTGTCGGGAATATTTTACGAGTTCATTCATCTGTCTGCTGCTCAGGAGTGGGTAATCGGCTCTGCGGATCATCAGGGCTGAATTTCCCTTGCTGACTAACTGGTCCCACACTGTAGGCAGCAGGCAAAGGCAAGAAGGGGTCAGAGACAGGTCCAAAAAGAGAGAGTGTGAACCTATGTGTCTGACAGAAGCTGTGTTTACAGAGTGATACGGAAAGCATTCCAGAACGCCTCTGACCTTAATTCTCAGGCAGGCTGATAAGATAGCCAACAAGTCCTGTAGCTGTGCTACTATGTCTGTCTGCCTAGGGCTTTGCCAGACAGTTTACTCAGAATTTATTCTCAGGGCCTTGTGTCCTGAAATGTGCCTCAGCTAGATGCAGATATTCGGTTAGGATGTGTTCCCAGAGACGTATCTCTTTAAAAAGAAATTCTCAAAACTTAAAAAAAATTATTTTATTTGGAAATTTAAAAAAATCTATGACCACTTCCCTGACTTCTTAGAGCTGCTCACACTTTTAAATTGTCCTCATCACTATTCCACTGTTGAAATAAGATGAAGAACCTTTTTTCTTAGGAGACTGCCTGCTGATATGCTAAATGGCTTCTCTCTGCTGTCTTTCTTTAGTTCTTCGGGACATTGGGCCTTTCTCCCCATCTTTCTGGCAGGTCAGCTGCTGTTTCTACCGCAGTCAGTTTGCTGCCCGCTGAGGGTACCTTAAATGCCCTGTCCGCCACCTCTGTGAAGTGAATGAGTTTTAGTACAACCCGTTATGATACCTCTTTAGGTTGGTTGCACAGAGAGCTTTGGGTGTGTTTCTTTCTCTAGGACCTTTTGATCACATCACAGCATCACGTGTGAACTTGTGGCTGGTGTGCGTGTCTCTGTGTACAATATATGCACATTTGCTGGTGTCCATGCAGGCTTACAGCTTCTCGTTTTTTTTTGTTGTTTTTTTTTTTTTTTTGAGGGTAAAGAGAGGGAACTTATTTTGTTTTTGGGGTTTTTTTAAATAAATTTATTTATTTTGGCTGCATTGGGTCTTCATTGCTGCGCTTGGACTTTCTCTAGTTGCAGCGAGCGGGGGCTACTCTTCATTGCAGTGCGCGGGCTTCTCATTGCGGTGGCTTCTCTTGTTGCAGAGCACGGGTTCTAGGCGCACAGGCTTCAGTAGTTGTGGCGCACAGGCTCAGTAGTTGTGGCTCGTGGGCTTCAGTAGTTGTGGCGCGCGGGCTTCAGTAGTTGTGGTTCGCAGGCTCTAGAGCACAGGCTCAGTAGTTGTGGCGTACAGGCTTAGTTTCTCCGCGGCATGTGGGATCTTCCCGGACCAGGGCTCGAACCCGTGTCCCGTGCATTGGCAGGCGGATTCTTAACCACTGTGCCACCAGGGAGGCCCAGGGAGCTTATTTTGAATCGCACTATGTGTTGTTTGGATTAGCTAAGCTTTGCTGGGAGTTAGCAGAAGAGGTCTCTGAGCAGCTTTGCTCTCCTTCTTTAGAGAAAAACCCAGAAGTTGCTTAAGGGAGAAGAAGGAGCAAATGTAAAGACTGAAAACGTAACATAATATATAACAAAGAGTCGGGGGGTCTCTAGATTCAAACTAGATGTAATTCAAACTATTTAGATAAGAACATACAGAAATATATATTTCTAGCAACCTAGTATTTTAAATAATTATAAGCAGTATACCTTTATGCAATCAAGTAGCCAACAGAGCAATTTCCTTCTCAAAAATATTTCCTTTTGAAACTTCTCTACATGTATCGAGCTTTACTGAAATCTTTTTAACATTTTAAATTCATGCCTGTTTCCTCTTGGCTTGTCTAATGGCAAGCTGAACCACACGTAGAACTTGGGTGTCTTTTAATCACTTCAGTAGTTTGGCAAATTTGGTCATAATCAGTCTTCACTGTCAGAAATCATCAAAAAACAATTAGGCAAACAGTTGAAATTACAAAAACCTATCAGTCAAAATGTATGCTGTTATATTATCAACTTTTGTTCTACGTAAGGCAGCGCAGAACTGAATAGGAATAGGTTTCTTTAGTTACTGACTTTTATGGAAGATCAAGGATAGAAGTTTAATGCAATGATGTCTGAGAGTTAAATATATAGGACCAAAAACTCAAAAGCAGGTTGTACTATGTATTTGCTTTAGAAAATAATTAAGAACTTACTTAAAAGTGAAATCCCTCAGTGCAGGGATTTTTCTTCTTGGCTGGGTTATCAGAAAACCCCATGCTGACTTATTATCATCTTTTCCTGGCCATTTCATACCACTGGTTTTCTGCCAGTACAGCCTCTATACTATTAGCCAATATGAAGTTAGCTTCAAAGGTAAATGTACTTTATAAGAAATGATGAAACACTCGAAATCAGGTATATTCGGGGTTTTTCCAGCATCGTTTTGGGTTTGTACATGTCACTGCTCCTTTCCTGTAAACTTGACAGTCAAGATTTGCCTCAGGAGTGGATAATAAAGTAAAAGGTAATTTAAATTATTTTCTGTCATCATTCCTGTATGTTATAATCTGAAATTTTAGCATTCACTTGTCAGTTTATAATTTAAGATATTGAAATAATTTCAGGAAATCTTTGGAAAGAGAAGACTTTGAAAAAATAATGGCAGACCAAGCGATTGCAGCAGGTAATAGAATTAAGTAGATGCAATTAGGAAATAATTATACTTGTAGAACTAATGTTTTACCTGTAAACAAAGATTTTCTATTCCTAGAAAATATTTAGCTGGAGAACAAATATTTTCTTTAAAATATTCATATTTGTTGGTAGCTCCCAGTGTGAAATGTTCAATATCATGTTTTGTGTTAACACAAAGAATAACTTTTTCGTACTGTATGTCTTTGTTTGACCTCAAACGTTTCCTCTTCTTACAATGTTTATTTGCTGAGAAGTAGATAAAGCTGCGTGGGAGGCTGACTCATAGGCGTTCACAGGCTTTGGTCTTGAACTTTAAGTGTTCCTCATTTATGCATGAAAAATTCTACTCAGCAAAGTAAAAGAAGTAATTTTTTTAAAGGGTGGAAGCAATCATGGGAAAAAAGGTGAGCAGCGCTCTCATAGTAATCCTAGTTTGGAGGAAACAAGCAGATGAGTGACTCTGTCATACTGTCCTTTCCAAAGTTTGAGTACATGAACCAACAGGTTAGATGTTTCTCAAAGTACCAGATATGAAGAACTTGATGATGATGATGATGACAGTGGCGATGGCTGACTTGTACTGAGCCCTTCCTCCGGGTCAGGCGCGATCCTAACGTGCCCGCCAACCCCGCCATGGCAGTGCTGTGGACAGGGCACTCGGGTTTCCCTAAGTCACAGATGAGAAGAATGTGGTACACAGAGTGTAAAGAACAAAGGACATTAGAGGGAGAAGCTGTGGAAAGTAGATAATATATTCCAAACACCTATTCAGTCAGGTAACATCAAACAAGAATGCTGTTTTACTGGAAAAAAATTACTTCATATCGTCTCTAGGGAAAAATGACAAAATTGAGTTTCACCACCAGTGATTTAGATTAATTCCTGTGTCTGATGCTTATACTCCAAGGGGGCCAAGACCCCTTCAGCAACATGTACCACTGTTTCCGTTGTTAACAAGGTGGGAGAGCTTTTTCTGAAATGGACTTGGTCCTGTGATTCCAATTGCTCTTTTATAGTTAAGCTTCAGGGAGATAAAAAGTCATATATTATACTCAGTTGATCATTCTTTCCTAATTAACTGACTTGGGATTCATATTAGGAGTTGTCCAAATTCTAGAAACTAATTTATGTAGATAATTTAAACACGGGTAGTTAATTTTGGTTGGAAATCTTACTAGCCGATATAAAGCAAACTAACTCGTCAGATAGAACAATATTAACACCAGTAACAGCACATCTCTGCTAAGATGGCGCATTTGATACGGCAGAAAATGTATTATGTGCTTTCAGGAGTCCCAGTGGAGATCATCAGAGAATCCCTCGGTGAGGAGCTTTTTAAAATATGCTACGAAGAAGATGAATACATCCTAGGGGTGGTCGGAGGAACCCTGAAAGACTTCTTAAACAGCTTCAGCACCCTTCTGAGACAGAGCAGTCACTGCCAGGAAGCAGAGAAGAAGGGCAGGTTTGAGGACGCGTCCATCCTGTGCCTGGATAAAGATCCCGATTTCTTAAATGTTTACTATTTCTTCCCCAAGAGGATCACTTCCCTGATTCTCCCCGGCATCGTTAAGGCAGCTGCTCGCATCCTGTACGAGACCGAAGTGGAGGTGTCCTCGACGCCCCCCTGCTTCCACCAGCACTGCAGCGAGTTCATGGACCAGCCCTGCCTGCTCTACTCCGTCCACGTCAAGACCCCCCGGCCGGCCCCACCCCCGGGGAAGCCCCCGTCCTCGCTGGTGATCCCCACCTCGCTCTTCTGCAAGACCTTCCCCTTCCATTTCATGCTGGACAGAGACATGACCATCCTGCAGTTGGGCAACGGCATCAGAAGGCTGATGAGCAGGAGAGACGTGCAAGGGAAGCCTCATTTTGACGAGTACTTCGAGATTCTCACTCCAAAAATCAGCCAGAACTTCAGCGGAATCATGACCATGTTGAACATGCAGTTTGTGGTCCGCGTGAGGAGGTGGGACAACGCCGTGAAGAAATCTTCCAGGGTAAGAAGAACGTTACACTGTTGTGAATATGGAATCCGTTGTTTCATATTTAAAGACTAGAAATAAAAAAGGTGAAAATATACGCATTACTTGAGATGTTTTAATACAGCATTTCTGTTTAAGACAATTCTAGAACACTTCGAAGGGTGGAATAAATTTAAGACAAGATTCTTTCTGCATTCGTTTGCTTACTTAAGCCATCACTGCACAGATATTTGTTGAATGCAGTCTACCTTTTACAATCTTTATGGAGTATTTTATAACTGCATTAGAAAAATATTGATGTAAAAGTATGGTTTCAGTCATCATGAAATAGCTGACTTAATTTGGAATGATAAGAGGGATTCTACAACAAAGAAACAACTTGTTTCTTACAGGCGGCAACTAAATGGATTTTTTCAATATTTAATAGACATGGAAAAAAATCAATAACTTGTTTGCTTAACTGTTAGAGAATGTGGGGGAAAATGTTCTGCTCTCATAATAGATAACCATGGTAATGATTTAGAAAAATGTTTGGGAAATCACAGCCGATAGTACAAGCGAACTCAAAGAAAGGCTTACGACGCGTCTAACTTCTGGACACATGTAAACCAGCAGACATGCTGTCTGTCCCCCCCAAATGAAAACAGCTTTATTACTCTTTATCATAAAAGTAGTATAGCTAAGTGTTTAAAAAATAGGTAATACTTAAAGATGTTCATTGCAAACTCAAAAACATTAATTTTACACATTTTTGTTTAAAACAAAATATACTATTTACAACTTTTTTTTTTTAATCACTAAACGATACCTATGGGCCTCCTGCCATGTCATTAGATACCTGTCTGTTCCACGTTTTCAAAGGCTGTGTCGTATCCCATCGTGTGGTTTTCCGTTTAACCGTTCACTATTGAAGGACACCTGGGCTGCCTTCCACTTTGCTGCCGTGAACACACATGTACACGTTTGTCTCATTCACACAAGTAACCCTGTCATCCAGGACAAACACACGAAGCCCCCTCGCTCAGGGCTCCTTGTGCCATCCTTTCTGCTGCTGTCCACAGAATGCAGTAGCAGAAGCATCAGCATGCCACATAGTGAGAAAGCCCTGAAGCAAGAATTTGGGGCTCTGTTGATTGAAAATCATGATTTCTGTGTAGCCTGTACTGCAGTGTATCCTCCGAATGTCTGCATGCATTTTAGAATTCATAGTAAATTGCAACGCTAAGAAAGCATATTGTTTTTGTTGACCAGTAGAAAAAAATCAAGTCTAAAAATAAAAGGAGGGACTTCCCTGGCGGTCCAGGGGTTAGGACTCCACGCTTCCACCGCAGGGGGCACAGGTTCGATCCCTGGTCGGGGCACTGAGGTCCGCAAGCCTCACGGTACAGCCACAAAAACCAAGGGGATTATCCCTGTACCCGCCTCACCTTTTGTCTCAAAAAGGTGTTGGGAACTTGAATAGGCCACAACGGTTGGTGCCTCTTCCTACGCAGGTGATGGACCTCAAAGGCCAGATGATCTACATGGTGGAGTCCAGCGCCATCCTGTTCCTGGGCTCGCCCTGCGTGGACAGACTGGAGGACTTCACGGGCCGGGGGCTCTACCTCTCGGACATCCCCATCCACAACGCACTGCGGGACGTGGTCCTGATCGGAGAGCAGGCCAGGGCGCAGGACGGCCTGAAGAAGAGGCTGGGCAAGCTCAAGGCCACGCTGGAGCAGGCCCACCAGGCCCTGGAGGAGGAGAAGCGGAAGACGGTGGACCTCCTGTGCTCCATCTTCCCCTGCGAGGTGGCGCAGCAGCTGTGGCAGGGCCGAGCCGTGCAGGCCAAGCGGTTTGGCGACGTCACCATGCTCTTCTCGGACATCGTGGGCTTCACGGCCATCTGCTCTCAGTGCTCCCCGCTGCAGGTCATCACCATGCTCAACGCGCTCTACACCCGCTTCGACCGGCAGTGCGGGGAGCTGGACGTCTACAAGGTAGGGGCCTGCGGGGGGCAGGGCGAGGCCGGGGGCCCCAGCCCGGGAGCAGGCGGCGTGCCTCGGCCGTGCGCGTGGCCTCCGGCCCGAAAGGGCTCCGAAGCCGCGCATTCCAGAAAGGACGAGCTTGTGCCAAAGAACAAGCACAGAGTGCAGGGGCGACAGAGCGAGGGGCGGGCCTCGGACCCTCAGAGAGGGGAAGTTTAAAGGACGGTGAGCCTGGGCTTCCCTGGTGGCGCAGCGGTTGGGAGTCCGCCTGCCGATGCGGGGGACGCGGGTTCGTGCCCCGGTCCGGGAAGATCCCACATGCCGCGGAGGGGCTGGGCCCGTGAGCCATGGCCGCTGGGGCTGCGCGTCCGGAGCCTGTGCTCCGCAGCGGGAGAGGCCGCAACAGTGAGGGGCCCGCGTACCGCAAAAAAAAAAAAAAAAGACAGTGAGCCTGAGCCTCGACTGTGAGACCCGAGATGAACTGTTAAGGTGAGATGTTTCAAGGTCAGCCTTGCACAGGGAGGACGTATCCTTTCTGTCTGCAGAAGGAAAGAAGCACGAGGACTGCACAAATTGTCTTCGAACGGATTCATTCAGTACAGGGTAACGGGATCCTTTTCACAGCCGGGGAAGAGAAACCCAAGTCAGCGGCTTAGGGGGTTACTGTACCCAGGCCGAGGGCAGAAGGAGGGCTGTCTTCCAATCTCCTTTACTGCCTTATTGGCTTTGTAAGCAGAGAAAGTTAAATAACCTTCCTCATTTCTGAAACAGAGGATATAATACCCTCCCACAGAGTTTATATGCATGAATAACATGCATTATGTCCCGTAATCTTCGTGAACACGACTGTTACAAAGATTACGGTAAAAAAAATAATCTGTCCTTCATCAGCCAGCAGGCACTGAGTGCCTGCAGGGTAGCAGCCATCATTCTAGGCTCCGAGGCTGCACGGAGATTGTCCCTGAAACATAATAAACTATTTTTTAAATGTAACTTTTGTTACTAAGAGAACCAATGAAGACACTTTGTGTTCAGCTTATTTCTTTAGAAGTAAAACATATTTTCTTGCTGATTTAAAGTATTTTACGTTGTCCTAAATACTGGCATAAGGAATAAAGCATGCTTCTCATTTCTGTGGCTTGAATCATCTTTTAATTTGCCACGTAAAATTCTGGCATTTCAGAGCTTAATGCAACATGAAAACAAATAAATGATTAAAGAGGAAACAAAAATGATTTATGGGACTCTATAAGCCCCTCCTTTGTTCCAATCTAGATGCTCGAAGTCAAACTTGCCTTTTAAAAAATTTGTAACAGGAAATTCCAGACAGAGCTATGATTCCCTTAGGAAAAAAGAGGTCCATGCATAATTACAGATAAAATAATTGGCTTCACTTAGGTTAAGCCTCATGGCCTCTTGTGGAATTCACTGTATTTATTTGTAGACAGTTTATGCCTTGAGAATATCTCCTCTCAGAACTGGGAGGTCTCCCTGTCTTCTGCAAACTGCTGTGGCTGCCCGCTGCTGCACGGTTCGCCCTGTTGAAACTTTAAAATATGGGTCATTCTCCCCAGTGGTCAGAATCTTGTACCTCACGATGAGGGTGCGGGCGCAGAGACCCCTGGGGGCCCAGCCGCAGCCCCAGCCAGAGAGTCTGCATCCTCGTTTCACCTGCTCTTCATGCCGACTCCGCGTGGAAACACCTGGAGATGCTGTGAACAAACGGGGGAGAGTCCTCACCTCGGAATAACCTTAAGATATAGAAAGTGTTCATCAGGGGCTGACCTGTGCCCGTGGTGGCTTCCAAGGAACAGTCAGGCTTGTTTATTCCAGGACCCGGCTGGACCAAGACTTCATTCAGTTACACTTCCTTTCTGTCTTTCAATCTCTCGGTCATTTTCTGCTTATTTGAGTGTGTATCTGTCTGTTGTTTCAGCACATCCTTACTGGTCCTCCAGCGTTGGCCAGCGTGGGAGGGGGTACAGTCCCTGTGAAAAGAGTCCACGGCAGGGGGCGGGCAGAGGAGGGACACACAGAGACGCACAGGGCAGATTCCCTGTGACACTGGGGACGCGATACCACTCTCACCTCTGCAGGGGCTGCAGCAGCACAGAGGACAGCACCCAACACCCAGTAGGGGCGAGGGTGCCCTTCTCCTACTTAGTAACACTTCCTGAGCCCTGTGACAGGTGAGCCGTTAGCCTGAGCGCTTCTCTGCTGTAGTGCTGAGGAGATGCTCTCGGGATGCCCGGCCGCCGGGCTGTGTCCTTAGTGAACAGCCTGGGCCCCAGTGATGGAGGAGTTGATGAGACAGACTCTGAGAGCTTGTGTCCTACTGGGAGAAAAGCCAACAAACGGGCATAACTCCAACAGCATCCCTGTTGGTGTGCTCTCCTGGTAGGAAATGGAGCCGGTACGGGCCGTGGGCGGGATCGGGCTTCCTCGCCAGGTGGGTGTCAGCAGGGCCCGAGGAGACCAGGGACACACCAGGTGGCCATCTGCAGGAAGACTGTTCCAGACCGAGGAGTAGCAAGTGTTTGGTATGTTTGAGGGGAAACAGGTGGCCACTGGCTTGGAACACAGTGCGCAAGAGGGAGAGTTAGGAGATGGATTGGGGACAGCAGAAAGGCAGGGCAAGAACTTGGGGGGGCATGTTAAGGGCCCCGGCATTTATTCTGCATGAAATAGGGAGTCACTGAAATTTGTCCCCATTCTCTTCTCCTCTCTCGTCTCCGTCCCCCTAGATTGGAAGCTCTGGATCAGAACAGTGATATGATCTGATAAGTTACAATTAATATTTAGAGGAGAAAAATGTACCTATTACAAATTGGTGGCTTACTTGTGGATTTAAAGTAACCATTAGCTTTCTGTACTCAGGGTCACCGACAGATAAAAATCAGGCATAGCAACAGCAATCATGACAATGATAGTAATGTACATGAAATTTACAGAAGAGCCTGATTTCCAATAGCTTCCAGTCACCATTGTCTGCCTCTGGGCTTGACACCTTGGTTTCTACACTTTGCGATTAGCGTTGCTATGACAACCCCAAATGTCCTTTTGAAAAGCTAAAATGACAGTTTTAACCAGGCACATCCTTAATAAATTCATAGGGCCTTGACTCAGTAGTGACTTTGTTCAGAAAGCTGTATTTTATGCTGAGAGGGTATAAAATCACCCAGTATCTTAAACAGTTTAGTATAAACCCAAAGTACGTCATTTGCTTCTACAAGGCCCTTTCACGTGGTGGGGAAAGGAGGTGGTGAGTCAGTGGCGATCCTGGGAGTAGAAGCCCTCCCGAAACTGTGTTCACAGCGCGGCACTGCCGCTCACCTTGTGCGTGTCCTGGGAAGGAAAGCCTTTTCCAAGAGTCTGCGATTTGCTCTGATGTTCCATTGGCCCTGAGCGCTGAGGTGTCTGCTGCATGATTCTTAATTTCTGCTCTATGATATGCCCTGTGGTGCTTCCTCAGCTTCTGCTTGTAACGTGGAGAATCTGTTGTGCGTAGGTGGAGACCATCGGCGATGCATACTGTGTGGCTGGGGGCTTGCACAAAGAGAGCGACACCCACGCTGTTCGGATCGCACTGATGGCCCTGAAGATGATGGAGCTGTCTGATGAAGTGGTGTCTCCCCACGGAGAGCCCATCAAGGTGAGGCGTATCACGTCCTGGCCAGGAGATGTCAGGACAGTAAATGCTGGTTAGTTAGATCCCAACAGAATGGTGCGTCCCTCAGGGTTTAGGGGCAGAGAGCGAATCTCCAGCTTGCTTTACTACGCGGTGTTAAATGGCTTACAGATCACTTAGAGACCAGAGACGCCACCCATGGCTTGAGCTTTGAAAACATGGTTCCCAAACCCGCACTTCAGAACCACAGCTTCCTCCGTGACCTGGAAGCTGGTTCCAGAACCACACAGCCACAGCCAGGCAGGGAACCACTGTGCTCGGAAAGCAGCTGCGTCCACTGCTGGCTGCAGAGGAAAGTTGCAGCTACTGTAATTGCATCAGCAGCGTGGAAATACCGCATCACGACTCTTCCAAAATGAATGACTGGCCACTGGGCTCCCTGCTAAGCAGGGGAGAGAGAACACAAAGGCTTCCCCAGCCGTGCTCACACCGGGAGTGCAGGCAGAAATGCAGGTTTCCAGAGCTCAGGCAAGGGCTTCCGATTCACCACACCTAAGTACATCTAGAACCTTCAAGGGACTTTGGAAAATGGAATGCTTAGTTTTTTGAGCCCTGCAGGGGAGGAATTACACGAGAATGAAGTGGGCTGCTAACCCACCAGTATTTTCCAGGACACATAAAATTCTAAAATTTCTAGACGAGCCATATCCCAGAACAATAATGTCTTATAGCAGATGAGAAAATAAAATTAACATGCTAACCATTGATTTAATAGATAAAACGTGAGTGGAATATCCTTATTTGTCCCACTTGAAGTGAGTCTGCCATAGAACAGTCTCAGTTGATGACCTTCAGAAATGGGTCTTTGAAGTAATATGGAATCCTATATGGCATGATATAAAATAGAGAGAGAAGGAGGAAAAAAATTAGAAGTTTAGCCAGGGCTGTCTCCACTGTTAATAGAAGCCGTATGTGTAAGCCTTCACAACTATCTTCTAAGTCAACCCTCATCCCAGTTATATACCGATGTGTGACACACTTCCCTAAAATTAGTGGCGTAAAACAACAGAGCTTTGATTTTGCACTGATTCTGTGCGTCGGAATTTGGATGAGGCAAAGCAGGAATACCTCGTCATTTCTCACAGCATCCGGCACCTCAGCGGTCGAGGGCGCGTCAGGTAGCTGGGATTACACCACTTGAACCAGAGCTTCCCTGGCCGGCCTGGTTCCCTGGGTGGGGCTGGTGGAGGGCGGGGCCCGGCTGGGACTATCAGCCCAGGTGCTCACCTGTCACGCTCTGCTGGGGCAGCCTCAGGGCCGTCCCACTTCTTACATAGGGGCCACGTCCCGGTGAACAGGTCTGCCTCCACTGCATGGCCTTTATGCCCTGGCCTGAGGAGATACACTGTGACACATCCATTTTGTCCTAATGGTCACAGCAACCCTAAGCCTGCCCACAGGGGAGAAGACTGAGACCCCAGGTTTCAATAGGAAGAGCGCGACATAATTTTCCACTGTGCTTGAAAAGTTTCACAGTATCTGACTTTTCCAGATGCTTAATTTCTATACTTTTTTAGAAGAGAATTATGTGTTTTTTTGTGTTTTGTTGTTGTTGTTTTGTCTTTTTTTGGTGAGGAAACTCAGAGCATCAAAGTAAAGGCTTAAAATATCCCGATTAATAATAAAACCAGTGATCTCCACATAAATGGATTTTGTAATAAGATGTGTATGTTTGGGGCAGGGGGGTTAGTGGCATGGGGGTTTTTTGATATTTGTAGAAATACACTTTTAGAGTTTTGCAATTGCAAGAATTATTTATAACTAGTTTCAAAGATAATTACCTGGGTGATAATAGTTTAGCTTTACTGAGCTGTAAAGTCAGGTGTGAAACCACCTTTTTCTTTGTATTGACCTGCAGTCCTAGGAAATACCTGACAGCCTTAGGGGCTACTCATGAAATATCACAGACGCAGAAGTGCAGAGTAGTTTCAGTAGAGAGAGAAGCACTAACGTGTATCACAGGGAGCAGATTGTGACTTAAGCATCATCTTATTTAAAATCTGTATAACAACATTATGAAAAGGCATCCACAATTCACTGCTAGACAAGAGTAGTCGAGCCTCTCACGGATGCCGATTTGGAGTCATGTGTTTCTTACCCTCCTGCCCCACGGCATGGAATCACAGTGAAAGAATAGGAAATATTTCCTTTTTTTCTTTACAAACTCTATGTTTTCTCCAGCGTGTCGTATGTACAAACCATCTATGCACTTATTCCTACCGACTTCCTCACTAACGTCCACCCACTGAGGCTTGGAAGACGGTGGGTGGGTGGACGCTATCTCATGATGGAGACCAGGGCCAGGCTGAGTCAGAAGATGCAGAGTGAACTCCGACACAGGCTCTGGGAGCCTCCCTCCCAGCCCCAGAACCTGAGTGCAGAGGGGCTACATCAAAAGTGGCCCCAAAGGGGAGACTCCCCAGCAGGTTTCCACTGGGGGCGTGACGGGCCTGTTAAACTTTGGACCATTATTGTGCTTGTAAATTTGAAAAGTTCCCGTATGAGGAAGCTTTGGGGTTGAGAGTGAGATTCAGGGCTGGGGGAGGGGAGTTGGGGGGCAGGGGAGGAAGCAGAGACACTGGCTTTGTCTGCGTTGTTTGGATGTTTACGAAGAGGAAATGTTTACGCATTTCCATATTAATTATGCAAAAGAAACAGTAAAACGCCATGGTAAACTTGTCGTATTAAAAGCTGTGACAGAGCGACAGAGAGGCACGGACATATATACACTACCAAACGTAAGGTAGATAGCTAGTGGGAAGCAGCCGCATGGCACAGGGAGATCAGCTCGGTGCTTTGTGACTGCCTGGAGGGGTGGGATGGGGAGGGTGGGAGGGAGGGAGACGCAGGAGGAAGGAGATATGGGAACATGTGTGTATGTATGGCTGATTCACTTTGTTGTAAAGCAGAAACTAACACACCATTGAAAAGCAATTATACCCCAATAAAGATGTTAAAAAAAAAAAAAAGCTAGAGTGACTAGGTACAAAGAGAAACTGATTTAACCAGAAGAGTGCCCAAAATCAGTAAAAACTTCTAAAATTCTGCCTGATATTTGTAAGCAGAAGAGAGCCTTTTGTCACCTTATTTTATGTGTCGACATTGTTCACTGTCATAGCGTTTACATATAGAACCGTAGTCTCCTAAGGAAGAAAAAGCCAGAATGTAATAGACATTTATGTTTTTCTGCTTAAAGTAAAACCTGGATGAAGAAGGAACTTTAAAAAGAATCCAACCCTGCATTTTTTAGGTGAGGAAAGAGTACAAGGGAGATTTGGAGGTTTAGAGAAAGTCAGATTACCAGATGCAGAGAAGAAACCAGTGGTCCCAGAGGGAAGCGGGTGGAGGAAGGGGAACGTGGGAGTGAGGGTTAGATGTACAGACAACTGGGTGCAAAATAAGTAAGTTACGAGGATGTCATGGACCGCACAGCGAGTACAGTTATTTTATGACAACTCTGCGGGGAGTGTAATCTATAAAATATGGAATAACTGTGTTGTGCGCCTGAAACTAATATAATATTGTAGGTCAGAGCACCAGCCATCAGCACAATTTTGGTTTCTAATACAAATTTCCTGATTCATGATGTAGGGCTTTTGTTTGAAAATTTTGCAGAATTCATGATTTGACATGTTATAAGCCAATGATTCTCAGAAGTTTCTAGACGAGATCTGAAATTAGCTGTAAAACTAGGGAGATCTGGAGTCTTCTGGATTCTAAAGGACATCTAAGTCACTGAGTACTTGGCCTCTGTGTACAATACGCACATCTAATAAAACTTGTTTCAAATGGTCAGCTAAACAGAACCGAAAGTAACGTGCACGGTATCTGGCTGTCATTTGAAACATCCCCCCTTTAACTTGCTTCGTTGCAGCAGTAATTTAAAATCTGTACCTCCTCTGAGATCGGCCAGTATTTGGAGCTCCCGGAAGATCCCACTTTAAAACGTTGTCTTAACCGCTCTCCAGATCATTGATAGCTTTCAGGGTGCCTCAGCGTTTGCCTCAGCCTATCCTGATGCGGCAGGACTCTCTGGTTTTCCTCGGGTCCAGATGTTTTTGACTGACGTGTGTGTAGTCACTGTGATGCAGGCGTCAGCAATGCCACCTTTCCGCTTCCTCCGTCATTTTCAGCTTAAATATTACAATTCTCTTTCTGCACCCGGTCATTTGAGTAGTGAGGTAGTGTTTGGCACAAAGGCCCTTTTAAAGCAAAACACCTAAAAACCCGCCCTCTGCATCCTGAGCACTGGCTTCTTGGCCCCCTCCGACCGCGTTGGGAAACAACTTCTGGGCGCCGGAAGTCAGGTCTCTCTCACCAACAGACAGAGCAGGTTCACGTCAACAGTCCACGGGCACTTTGGTCACCATGGTGACTGTGGTCCGTTCGTGGGGGGCTTCGATTCAGATGCTGAGGACGGTTGAGATAAAGGATGCTCTGTGAGCAGCGTGAAGAGGCGGGGCTGAGGAGGTGGCGAGGAGAGGGGATGGGCTGCAGGCTTGGAGGAAGGAGGGCTTGTGGGCAGAGCCAGGAGCCCGGTGGTTTCGACAGGCACGCAGCCGGCGCTGACTAGCAGCAGTGTTCGCCCGTGACCGGAACGTTGCGTTGCTCTTGCTTTCAGATGCGCATTGGACTGCATTCTGGGTCGGTTTTTGCCGGAGTTGTCGGAGTTAAGATGCCCCGTTACTGCCTTTTTGGAAATAACGTCACCTTGGCTAACAAGTTCGAGTCCTGCAGTGTCCCCCGGAAAATCAACGTCAGCCCTACCACCTACAGGTATGGATCCCGTTCCGTGCCTGAAGTCTATTTTCATTCATACGCAGTCCTCGTGTTTGTCTGTTGGTTTGTTTCATTCTTCATAACTTGTTCTTGCTTAGACCATCTTAAAGGAAGAGAAAGGCCATAACTTGTATCATCCTCACTTTAACTTTTTTTTTTTAAACTGCGCGTTAGCCTCACGGGAACTTTGATCTCCAGCCCGACCCATGATTCTCCACTGAGAATCTCCACTCGTAAGCTCTGACCTGTATTTCTGCTCGGGTGACTAATTGGCCCATTACAGGCAATGTGATCCTATTAGAACAGCTGATTCCCCCCCCCCCCCAACACCCCCACTTCCACCGGCCAAGCTCCATCAGTCTCCTGACTGGGTGGTAGAGGGCCTCCGTGCACCTGGTTCCTGGGACCAGCACCCTGGCATGCCCTCACCTTCCCCGTGCGTGCCCCGCCCCCGCTGCAGATGAGTGTGCTGCACGCAGCGCTACTCACACCCAGGCTCCCCTCCACGTGGTACCCATGTTCTCTTCGTGAAGCACAGGCCAGATCCGTCCCCCGGCCTTACAAGCCAGAACATTAAACGTGCAACCACGGACTCACGTGTTCCCTCTGCCCAGCGTCCCGCCAGACCCTACCACCAAGGTTTCTTCCACTCCCTCCTTATTTCATGGATCTCCTGCAACCCGGCCTCGTTTTTATGCATCACGCTCGCCAAACCGATTCCTGAATGGAGGATGCGTGCTTTGCGTTTCTCTCCCGGGTCATCCCCTGCTTTCCTCCTTCGCACATCAGACCTTAAGTCAGAGGCCGCGTCTTCACAGACACATTCCTCACCCGCCCTGGACACACCCTCAGGTGCTCATCTCAGCTCATCCTGTGTTTCTTAAGATCAGGACAAGTGGAGATTCTATGAGACGTTATACAAATATGAAAGGTAATTATTTCTTTGCAGAGCTTTATTGATAGTACACTGAATTCAGGGATGGCGTTTCCCAATACAATAATATTAGGAAGTGTTAACTTCCTTCATATATTTATGAAGCACATGTAACTTTAGGACACAGACTGCATACGCACAACCAAAACTATCCATTTCCTTCAAACTTCCACTTCCAGATTCTGATCAGTAATTTAGAATGTAATGGCAATTAGACATTCCTTTCTTTTAAATGTCATGAGGAGTTTCCTTCTAGGGGACAGTTTCCCGCATTTTTGTTTGTTTTTACTGAAGTGCAGAGAACGCAGACACTAGGTTCAATATCGTTTGAGTTTGGGGTCAGTGGATTAAAGGGAGGTTTGCGTGCAGTGATGCAGGATCATTAAAGACAAAACTGGCAGGTGCCCCGTGCGGGCGGGAAAGTTGACCAGTGGCACAGAAGCAGGACTTGAAGTCCACCAGGGAACGAGGAGAACAAGGGATTATGGGACGATGACCAAATTAGGAGAGTTGGTGCAGCTGCTTGCAGGAAACCGCGTCCGGTCAGGAGGGTAAAGAAAACCTCCCTCCACATGTGCGCGTCTGCCCTGGGACTGTGGCTACTATTCTTGGATCTTACGCAAGCTTTCTTCTAAATGGTTTTATTTTTCCAACCTGTTTTTCTTACAGATTTGGATCTTTTTAAAAAGATGATTTAATGAACAAAACATCTGTAAGTCTCTTTACAAAGCATGGGATTTGTAGGCAGAAGACATGTCCTACAGCACAGGGCTTACCAGATGTGCGATCTGGAGCGAGGCTCTTCATACATTCAAGCGATTGGCTTAAAGCCACTTCTGAATGCTCCAGATAGAAGAAGAAAACCAGAGGAAAATAGATTCCACCCGTTCCCTTTTACAACTTGCCTTCAATCCACTCAATACTATGTTTTTGAGATTTTTTTCTTGATGAAATATAAATCCAGTTCATAAAAATCTGGTTCATTTATTTACAGTATTCCTAACGCAGTGGTGTGCTGGTAAACCAGCCTGCGGAGTGAAGTGGATACTCCCTGACTTCTAGCTTTTACCAGTTTTTAAGGTGTAAATACTATCACCGTGGCAGGTTTCAGGCTACCGATGGTTTAACTGGCTTGCAGAATTCCAGAGTGTTTAACAGCTGTTTCTCACAAGCTGGTACGAGATAAATCTAGCATGTCCCCATATGTGCATGTGACATAATATGTATTCTAGAGTATAAATAAGCCGGTCTGTCTTCTATCCATGGGTAATTAGAGGATTGCCAGTTTTTCATTATTACACAACGTGATTTGATAAATATTCTTAAACATATGTGTCTAGATAATATACCTACGAATGGTATTCCCAGATCGTGGGCTATACCCAGTTTCGGCTTTACTAAGCGTCAGTTAGCTGTCCAGATTGGTTTCACCAATCTATTGGTATATATTGGTAATATGTACCAATAGAATCCACGGTGTCTGAAGGTTTCTGTTTCCCAGTGACTGATATTATCAGACTGATTGTTGCCAATATGACGGGTGTTATGTGATATCTAATTGATGCTTAATTAATCTTGTTCAATTTATTTAATCTTCACAGCTGTCTTAAGAGACATGTATTATTTTAATCCCCATTTGAAAGGCTAGAAATCTGACATCTTTGCTGTTATTCAAACCTACATCTACCAGACTTTGAAGCTTATACTTTCAATTGTGTGGAATTCTGTAATTTTTCATTATATATTACCAAATACTATGCCTTAAAAATAATAGGTACTCAAAATATTTACAAATCCATGACTAAAACTTCATTTCATTAGTCTTATAATTTTGCAGGCTACATATTTATTGGTGCACTGATAAAAATTAGCTGATTGAACACTCCCATGTATTCTGCTCGAGGTCTGTGATCCTCGAGACCTGCACCTCTGTACAGCGGTTTCCTCAGCACACAGAGGGGCGTCAGCGTCCCCAAGTCTCGTGCAGCATCGTCACTCTTTTCACTGCAGACTGGGGAGTGGAAGGGGAGATACGAGGAGAGATTTTCCGCAGAAGCTGGTTTACAGCCAGTTTCCATCCACGGCCTGAATAATAGATCAGAGAGATGCTTATTAAGTTTGCATTTGACAGAAAGCTAGGGAAGCAAGTGGGAAGAGGAGACAGTAACTTAATCAAAATGATTAGAGTTTCAAATGAGTTTATCATCATGGACAAATGCAGCAAATAATAAGAGCCTGTAGGACATCTGAATTTAAGGTGAAATTTAATTCTTAAGAATTTAAGAAGAAAATATATTGCAAATATCAGATAGTAAGTAGAGTGTCGATATATACAACTAAATCTCACTTAAGTCCTACTAACCTGGAATTCATAAAAATTCTATTGCGAGATCCCAAAGTTACTCTCACATTTTATATGTAGATATATATCTTATATAGAATTTTCTTTCACAAGGTCTTGCCCAAGCTTACTTCTCAGTAACATTTAGAAAAGGAATGAATTGACAATGTCTTATCTCTTTCAACTCCTCCAGTTCTGTAACATTATTTTCATGTATTATTAGACTTTTGGCATTGTTTGGGTTTTTTTTCCTCACTGCTGTGAATTGCACTGTCCTATAGATTATAGATGATACCTTTACAAGACTATTTGATAGTTATCTTTCCTAATATGAGTGAACTACAGTATTTGGTAGGGCTTTCTGTTACTGTGCATTGACTCCTTGCCGTTCTTCTGTGAAGATGCTTATAAACATCATTAGGATTTTTCCTGTCAGTGACACTGAAGATGGCTGGTTTATTAATATTCTCAAGAATGTTCCTTTAGTTATGTCACCTTTTCTTGACTAGACAGTTACGTCAGTCTTAAGTTTTATGATTAATATTTGTGTTTCAATATTTCCAGATTACTCAAAGACTGTCCTGGTTTTGTGTTTACACCTCGATCAAGGGAGGAACTCCCACCAAACTTTCCTAGTGACATTCCTGGAATCTGTCATTTTCTGGAAGCTTATCAACAAGGAACAACTTCAAAGCCATGGTTCCAGAAGAAAGATGTTGAGGAAGCCAATGCCAATTTTTTAGGCAAAGCATCAGGAATAGATTAGCCAAATACACACCCAATTGTTAGTCTCTGGGTTTGAGTCCTTGGAGCGTGTGTGGACCTTCTGAGAGCACACTGGGATGGCAGTGAGCTCAGGAGCGGTGGTAACATTTTGGGAGCTAAGTCACCACCTGCTTTTCCTTCCACTTAACATGACAAAAATGTATTCACCTCAATGTTCAACTCTTCAGTGAAAAAGAAAGAGAGAGGAGAGAGAAAGAAAGAAGGAAAGAAGGAAGCCTCAAAAAGTGACTTTGGGGGAGTATTTCTGATATATAAGAATAGCTTATAACCTATACTCAGAACTGAGCGCCTTGTTCGTATATCGGGCGATTGTAGTGACCTGTACAGCCTGGTGGAGTCGCCTGCCTTCTGCCCTGGCCAAACACCCTGGTTATCAAAGCGCTTCTCATAGTGTTGGTTGCCTTAAAAACGCTTTTTGAATAGAAACCATAGTCTGATACCCTAAGCTCCTTGAACCTTTCAAGTCTGCATTTTGTTACATTTCCTCATTTAACTGTTAGCATACATAACAAAACAGATTGAGGCTTCTTCTGTTGCACTTTTTTCTTTTTTTTAGAGAAAATAAGCCATTATGGGTTAGATGCAATATGAATCTAAAGTAGTTCTTCTGTAAATATCAAAGATGATTTTATAAAAATATTCTCCACAACGTAATGTGTCGTAACAATAAATATTTCCTTTTTTGACATTTTAAAAAGTCTATATATGGGAAAGGCCATTTTAATTCATAAGAGCAATTTCATTTCTATTAATTCATTTTTGTGTCATAACCTTCAGGATAAAAGAGGGTTACAGCCTACATTAAAATGCAATAATATTATTCTAATTTACTTTACCCAGAAGCAATATGGAGTAAAGGCAGCATTCAGGGAATGAATCATAACGTACAGCAGTAATTTGGACCTATTTCAGCAGACACCCTCCATTGCCAGGCTGAGCCGTATTAAAGTTCCATCAGGAAAATCTGAAGTTCAGAAGTGGGAAATAAGACTTGTTCTTTTTGCTGATAGCTTACTTTTTAAGTGTTTGTGTTCAACACTCTGGTGTGTATATATGTCCTTGGAACCATCAGGACTCTTTGTCTTACGTACACATCTGTGAATTTTTTATTCTAGTGAAATTAATTCAATGATCTTTTTAAAGAGGATGTTAATATGGATGAAGAAAATTATGCTGTGATTTCATTGTAGAAATTTCAAAACATTTTTCTGGAAAGTGAACTTTTAATAATGTTAGTCTAAGATCTCTGGTGAACTAAGTAACGTGCAGAGTTTGGTTGGAGATAAGGATCTGATTTTAAAAAGAACGCAACTTCGAAGCAAGAGAAAGCTGAACATTACAGTGTTTAAATCAGTATTAGCAGAGCTGTAGATACACTGAACTCTTATTTGGGGATCTGAGGGGTAAGTCAGCTGGAATTTTTAACCGTTCTCTCCACTAGCCCCCAGGCCAGTCCATGGTGACCTCGGGAATAAAGGCCATTACTGGCTGGCCTCTAGCATCCCTGGCGTATTACTATACATATCACAATAATTATTATTTACTCAGTGATGCTCCAGTGTCTCGAGGTACTGAACAGGGCTCATTAAATACCAATCCTATTATCGGAGAGTATCACAGGCCTCGGGAAAACATAGTCTCACAATTATATGAAGTTAATAAAAGTATTGAAAAGGAAAGTAAAGACTTAAATACATTTTTCTTTCTGGAAATGAGCCCTTATTACAGGGAAAATATTAGGAATTAAGGGAAATTGAAAAGCATAAAATAATGTGTCTTATTTATCACCTATTTAAGCAGACCCAAATTTGCTAATAATTTATGTTCCAAAAGTTGTAAATTAATTAGAATTCAAAAAATATTTTCTCTGTGTGTGTGTGTAAACACACACACACACACACAGAACCAATGGAGGAAAATGTGAACAATCTGGGCAAAAGCTCCATGGGAATTCCTCGTACTATTCCTGCAACCTTTCCATAAGTTTGATATTTTATCCAAATAAAAAGTTACCAAAAATGTATTTTCTCGAAAACATTAAGTCATCTGTGATAGATTCCCCAGACCAGCCTGCAAAGGCTCGTTAACTATGGGATACCTCAGAGCCCTTCAGCAAGACGGACATACAACATCTCCATGATGGAATGCACTCAAAATCTGCAACTTGGATGCTGAAAACTTTAAGGAATCCCTTTTCCATCTCTGTCTGATCCACTTTGGAGGGTGGAGGTGAGGGAGACGTATTCATGGCCAGACCACTGAGGGTAGGCAGGGACGGAGCCCGAGGGTATGTTCGCAAGGAAAGTGAGGGACCCGGACGGGGGCCTGAGGCTGGCGTGGGGTTGAGGATGCAGAAAAGGATGGACACAGGGGGTCTCTGACAGCGTTGGGAGCCAAGGGTTCCGAATCTTACTGCCAAGTGAACTGTCCTAAAATGTATATAATGTGGGTCCCAAGCCACCGGTTCCTCCTAAGAACGCCAGGAGCTGCTCTTCAGGTTCTGTTGTTTCCGTGACTTCTTGGGTGGGAAGGGCTGTTGCTGCGTTCTACTGGCCTGTCCTCCAAATCCCTCCTCCCTGACGTTGCCAGTCCCTCCGGGGCAGCTATGGTGAGGCACAGAGCAGGCTGCTTGGCCGGGCCGGTGGGCTAGCAAGGAGGAGTGACGTGGGGAGTGGCTGGGGGCAGACTCGCCCTCGCCCGGCGAGCGCCACCTGCGAAGCCCCAGCGATGCCTAAGGCTGCGTGCGGCTGGAAAGCCACGCCCAATGAGCCGCTGGATGCCTGTGGCTGTAAATGGTGGGCTTTACCTGGATAGTCGTCATTCCTCAGTGGAAGGGACTCTACAGGACACGGCCCTTCCCCGAACCACAGAACATAAAGAACTGTCGTGCCTGCTGGTGGGCTTGGGTGCGTTTCCCCGTGGAGCCGGCTGCGTGGGAACAAGTGAAGTGAAGGCCGGTTTGCAGGGTGAAGGATGCGGTGTGACACACGTGACACACGGGCGCGGGGAGGGCGGTCCGGAGGGGCTTGGGCCAGAGGGTTTGCAAATCCTGTAATGGAGGACGTAACACGTCCTGCAAAACCAATCCTCAGGTTGCTGCAGAGACGATAGGAAAGTGCGATCCCCTTGTCCAAACAGAGGCTAAAAGCAGGGACAGCTTGCTTTACTCAGCAGAGAACACCCAGAGGTAAATGTAAACCAGAGTTTACAGTGTTGCGACCTACATTCTCTGCTGGAATTCTTCCTCAAATCCTGGGAAATCTGTGTTCTCTTGTGAGGAGGGGAAGAATAATCGTCCCACTGTGAGAGGCGAGAACTTCTGGAAGGGATTAGCCCTCTGCAGTCCTGGCTGCCTTTAGTTTCCTTTTGCTCTTTGCCTGTTCGCTTCCAGGCTGCCGAAGTGCGGCTCCCTTTAATGCTTCTTTTATGGTGTTGGTGACGTGTACTCACTTGGTGTTCGTACTTTAAGCCGCCTGCAACATTTTACACTTTATTGCCACCTATATTTCTCCTGAAGCAGCCTTGCCCTTGACCTGTCACACCTGCATCTGTTTTGACCAACTCACACACACGCAATCCACACACTTTTACCTCTAAAACTGTTCTTCCTGTATTCGGTGCCTGCAAAACCAAGATGGCATAGGTTTCATAAACGCATAGCTTTCAAATTTTAAAACAAAGCCAAACGGGGGAAAATGTGATATTCTAAACGCTAGGCTTCTTTTACTATCAGTGCAAATTCATTTTCATCGTAATAAACTTAGTTTCAGGAAAATGTTAATATCTAAGATTTAAACACAGGGATCGAAATCAGGACAAAATTTAATTTGCAGATCTAGGACTTAAGCTCAGATATTTTGGAGATTAGAAGATTTTCGATAAGGTTGTGCTGCCTTTCAATTTTTTTAAGTATTTAATGTTGAGACGTTCTGCCATTTGCAACAATGTGGATGGATCTGGAGGGTATCAGGTTTAGTGAAGTAAGTCAGACAGAGAAAGACCAGTTCTGTGTGCTATCACGTATATGCAGAATCTAAAAACTAAAACAAACATGTATATAACAAAAAATCTATTAAATTGCAACTAAACCTTACAGATCGTGAAGAAGATCACTTGGCAGAAAACGAGTTTGCATAATGCCCAAATCTTATAAAGTATCAGCTAAGATGTTTGTTTAGTCTGAAAGGTTGCCAAACCCATCTGTATTGAGGGAAGAGCTATGAGGTCATCTCAGGGAAAATTACAGCAAAACAAAATGCTGTTACAGAAGTCGGACAATCCATCGTATTACACGCCCGAATAAAAAGGTAAAGCTGAACCTTTTGGAAAGTTACAGTGACAGTGCTCCCAGGTGCCTTTGGAAACAATGATGCCCCACGAGGCGGCATCCAGGGCTGTTCGATCACAGTGAGCTGCTTTCTTCCCCAGATAAGTTGTGTGTCGGAAAATTGAAGTGGATAAAAACGTTTTAGTCTTTGAGAATGTACTGTTCCTTCACCTCCTCCCACACGTAAATTAAAGATGCCCTGCAAGAGCTTAAGGACACAGCTTGATAGTAATCTAGAGCAGCGTTCTCCAGACCGCTGCACACCATTAGTAAGATGTTTAGAACGTTGACAATCTATTATAAGTATATAAAAATAAATTTTATCCTATAAGTATTATTAATATTTATGATTAATAAATATATAATATGTTGTTCTCAGTCTGAAATAATATAGTAATAAGCTTATTTTTAAGCAAGCATGAATAGGAATAGAAATTCTAGTATTTTCTTCACTCACCCCAGTGAATCTCCTTTATATTTGACTCTAGAAACTGTTACAACAGGCCAGTGGGTCTCCACCTTCACTGAGTCACAAATCACTTTGAGAACTGGATAAAAGATATAGGCCATCACCCTTCTAAAAATGTGCATATGCCCTTACACCCCAAGACTGATGTGTATTTCCAGAGGTTAGGGGATTCCCTGGAATGTACTCCTAGGCCACCGCAGGGAGGTAGCAGAGACCCTCAGGCTAATAACATTATCTAGAAGGGAAAAAACAGCAAATCCTACTTGAAATGAGAAGAGAACGAAGAACTAGAAGAAGTCTGTGAGTTTGGGCATAGATGTGACCCCTTGATTTTTGAGGAGAAAAGGGAAGAAGTTCTTTTGCTCCTGATTCTATGGAATGATTGATTCATGGGGCTTCACATATGAGCAACTAAAGTTTTCTTTTTAACAAATATTTAACATATCTCTCAATACATTTTCTCAAGTTTTTGGTAAATGTGCACTGCTCTTGGTATCCCACTTTTTCTTCTAGTTCAAGTACTTCTTTTCATTTTTCCTCTACGTGAAATAGGATAGCTGGTGAACCTCGTGTTGAAAACCTTGATACTAACAACACTTCTTTTATGATTACTTTCACAGTTGCTTTAAATAACACTTTATTTTGAGATCTGCTTCTGGCAGAGTCGCAAAGTCTATCAAAAATGTATCCTGTGTCTCAGAAGCTTGTTAGATATTGTTGCCGTATAAATATTGTAATAAAAGTGTTAAATAAAAATCTTCTTAAAATTTAAAATGAGTTCTGTTTAAAAAAAAAATGAGTTCTGTTTAAAAAGAAAATGAACCATCGAATCAAGTAAAAACTATTTAATACATTTGT